CTTAAAATATCGAAAAATATACAGCGCGCGAATTTTAAATGAGAATTTCCGAAAGCTTTTCGGTCACAATGTATGTGTATCGCTTCAGAAGGAGGATATTTTGAAGGAGATAAAATAAATTTGGAATAAAATTTAAATTTGTGTGTTTTATTTACAAAATCCGAGTACTTTTTGAACAGAAGGTACATACAAATAATATTTATATGGTAATATTTGTTTCTCGATGATCCCACATACTTTTTCAGCTAATCAATATAACTTCTAATTGATTATTGCTACGCATTATAATCTACTTCAAGAGTTTAAGTTTTTAATTAAACTAATTTAATTTTTCTTAAATTATTCTTTGTTCTTATATTAAAAAATTAACTAATTTTATAAAGTAATAGGTATTCTGGTCTTAATGTTCGTCTTATGAGTATAAAAAAATATTTATGAAATAATTCAGATTAGGTTAAATGGATTATTCGATTTCAAAAAACATAATAATTTTTGAATGCGTAGATGATCGGATTGTTCTTTACCAACCCGATATATGATAATATATGATATGTATAGTTTTGCGGGGAACGCAGTCTTTTAGGATGTGTGTTATTCAGACTGGTGTGGGATAGAAACAGAAGGGACAATGTGGTGTTTAATTATTCGTTACTGTTTAAGAACAGGTTTAATACTTTAGTGCAACATTCTGCAAGTCTTTTTTCTGTCTTATATATATAATTAAAGTATGTATGTTTTACCTATATTGTAGTAAGGCTTGAACTTAACAAATTAAATTCGTGAAATAAAAAATAAAATTTTTTTTTGCGTAAATACTGTATTCCCATAAATTCTATTCAAATGGGAATAATTCATGTATTTTTTTAAATGCATTGAGTAATTGTTAATCGATATTCCATAAGATATAATGATGAACTCGATCAACTGATGGAAAGTGAAACAATAATCAAGCAACGCTTGAAGTAGATGACCAAACTATGTCTTACATGAATATTTACGAGTATTTTAATAAATTCAAAGAAGCCCAGAAACAATTGAAGACAAAAATCAATCTCATCTAAAATTGTTAATTGATTATTAGAGACCTAGCAGATATTAATAATTTTTCCTTTTGATCAGTTCAGAAGAGAAGTTTTAAGAGATTTTGTACCCAAAACACTCAGTTCTTTTGGAGAATTAGCATCGCGTTGATGTCTGTCAAACAATGCTTCCTGATTGTCAAAATAAAAAGATACATGATAAATTTAACTTATAGCGTTCGACAAAGGTCTTATTCACCTGATTCTCCTAATAAAACAATAGCAGTAAGACTGTCTAGTAAGACTGGCTAGAAACCACTCTGTTGACACCATTTTGATCCGACATTTTGATTGACATAAATGTATTGTACTGGAAGTGGTATAATTTGAGAGCAATGAGTTAGAATTTACATAAATAACGATTTTAAAGTTTATAAATTATTTTATTTTATTTTTCGATCACAATATTATATCAATCCTTCCCACCACAGTTGTGGTAAAAATGTTTTAAAATAAAAATATATATTTTCTCCTCATTTTAAAATAGTTAAATACAAAATGGAAAGATTACTAACATATAAATATATGTATGCAAAATGCCGTCACTTAAATCTCTCCTTGATGAACACCTTAGACGTCATCGAAGGTTCAAAACAGTTCTAAAACCACCGAGTTTTATATGGCAATATTATTGACCACTAAGTTCGAGCGATACGTAAAGATCAGCTTAAAAACCCAGCCTTTATCTTGTTCCTTGAGAAATTATACCTACACTGCCACTAAATTCTTACAAAAGGCTATATTTTTAGTAAGATCTTCAAGTAATTTGATAATATTTTTACTAGTTTGTAGGGAGGTCAATATTCAACTAGGATCGTTGCGCCATTAATGATGATGACTAGTTTGTAGTATGTTAAGCATATGGACCAAATAAGCCATGTTTAATCCACATACTCTAACTCTGATTTAATACTTTGCCAGACAGACAATGATATACCATATTATGTTATTGCATTTTCTCTATTTCCAACATTTTCAAATATCCTTTCCATTGGTATCTATACTAACGTTTCTTCATAATCTTAACAACACACAGTTTCATTTTGTTAATAGGTTAACTTCGACATCGGGCAATTAAAATTAAAAGCTCATAAATCTTTTGTAAATTGTGTAAGAAAAAAATTTATTGCGAATTCCAGCACAGGCTCGGCACTGCTTTTATTTGCACTTAAAACGATCGCAAATAATATTTTAGGCCACTGGAAAAAACATTCACCCAAACCTTTGATAGGGCAAATTCCACCTTGTTAGTGGAAATCCGATTAAGTGAGTAAAAGGGGTACTTAATTGACTGATGACTGATTATAAATTTTGAGAGTTTTTATTTGAGAGTTTTTAACTGCATTTGTGTATTTTAATTAACAAACTTTCAACAATTCGTTGCACTTTTAAATCACTTAAAGCTGAAGGAAATCTTTAGAGTGCCGTATAAATTGCTGGAACTAAGAAAAATTTGAGGATAGTAAAACAAATTTGCAGAAAGGAGTTTTGAAATTAACTATTATAAATTATTCATATTTTATATTATAAATTTAGTTGATTTGGATGTTATTTGTTATTATCTATACTGAGGCAGTATGTTGCAAAATGCCAGTAAAATTTATATTATAGTTCATAAAATTTAATTATCAAAAAACTGTTTTTGTTTGTTTTGCCCAAAGTTCCGCTATTGGTCAAATAAGCTAATATGAAAGTCGGTAAGCAGTCTTATAGTAATGTACCACTCATAACTTAATGATATAAGTGGTAGGTACTATGCATCTAATATATTAAAATTAAAAAATTTTAAATATTATTCTACAAAATAAACTGCATTTTTTTCGAATAAAGTGTTTATAACTTAACCATTAAAAATTAAATTTACATTTTCTTTAAACTTAAAAATTTTGTTTTCTACAAAATAAACTGTATTTTTTTCAAATAAATTATTTATTAATCAGCATTTGAAAGCAAATTTTTTACATTTTGTTAAACTTTACATTATTAAATACAAAGTAATGCTTTGCTGGGTGCCTGGTCACACAGAAATCAATGATAATGAGTTTTCGCGCAATCTATAGTTACGGTAAGGTATCCTTCCTAGGCAAAACAGAGTTGAGGATGCTGGTGGGATATTTAACGGGACACCACGGACTGCGTTATCACCTTAACAAAATAGGTCTATCTGAAGAGATAGATTGTCGACTGTGCTTAGAAGCAGACGAGACTGGAAAATGTGACTGAAACATTCTCTGTGACTGCCCAGCCTTGATCTGAACCAGGAGGAGGTCACTGGGTCAAGAATTACTTTCTCCTTCTGCCATTAGGAGGTCCTCAACGGCTGGCATTTTGGCTTTTATTCGAAGAGCGAACACAAATATCAGAACAATCATTAAGACAAAGTAGCTGTTCTATACGTTGTTATGTATATATAGTAATATTGGCGTATACTGGGACTTATTTAAGTGAATTAATTCAAAGTTTATATGAAAGCTTATATTTAAATAAGAATCATTAAATTTAATCCTTTAAAATATTTTTATTTTACACTCCTAAACCTCGCAACCATTTTATTCAGAACTGTGTAGGACATTTACTATTTAAGCAATTTAACTACTTTATTCGGAGAATCGGAATCGTGGTGCTTTTTAGACAGTATTAATTGTTTTCAACTTCATTGAGATTTTGGAGCCAATTTCAGACTATTTAAACCTATAATAGGAAATTCTAAACTATCTTAATCCATAATCCATAAGACAACTAAATTATTTTTTTTGAAAAAACGTTAAACCTTTGATTGAACTGGTCTTTTGAAATAATTCTTAAATATTTAAACTATTTAGTTTTGAGTAGATTTTTTTATTTCCTTATTATATCTATTTACCATTTATGTACATTATTTTATTTGTATAGTATTTATGTATTATATGTACTTAATATATCAATATACAATATTTTTATATAAGCTTATTCTAAACAAATTTATTTCTATATTTAAATTTATTACATATATATATTATTATATTATTTATTTAAAAATATTTTGATATAAATAAACTTAGATTATATATACATTGAGACTTGTTAACCGATTTGATCTCTA